TTGACATAAATCTCATTTGCTCTACAAGTCTGTAAGAGTCTGCAAAGACCCTCCAAACATGAGCAGCCATAAAATGTACGCCCACACACTACGCTAAAAGTGAAACAGCATGTATGCTCTGCAGTAGTGTGTATGCACGTAGCACATAGATACAACGTACTGCGCATGTATGCAGTGGAGACTTCCAAGTGGACCACAAAAGTAACGTATTAACAGCTAGGTGTCTGCAGCTGTCCATCTACTCAGGAGTGTAATCAAGATTTAGGCCATTTTAAGGCGGAAAAAACTCCTAAATATGTAACTTTGATGAGGTAACAGGGGTTAAATCAGTGACTGGAGAGGGACTTCAAGCTGTGATTCCATTTGCATACGCATGAGTTGCATCATCAACCTCAACTTTTTTGCCAGAAGGCTGCACAAACTTTCGTTACTGCTGACCTGCATACGAAAAACTGAGCAAAACAAGCTGACTCTCTCCTTTTTCTGCTTCACATGCAAACCCCCACACAACCTGTTTTGTAAACTCGACTCTTACGTGCAGGAACGTCTCCAGAGAAGTAGAACAGATACTTGGGGCAGGGGATGGTGACCACCTCTCCGACTTCAGCGCTGGGCCAGCAGGTGAGCTTGTCCCACATACCGCTGCAACCTGATAAAGAAACAGAGGGACCAAAAAAAAAAAAAAAAAAGCACAGTCACTTGTCAAACAAAGGCTGAACAAAAGGGAAAATCTTTCCCACTGTTGTGACTCTGATCGTCTCCAGTGAGGAACAGCAGCCTGATTGAGGTGAAGGTGGTGCACCGGAGTTCCCATGGCAGCCGAAACGTGTAAACTCAGGTCAGCCTTCGTGACAGCGCCGGGTCCATCCCATCACGGCGGATGACCTGAGTTAACACACTGTCACCATGACTAATAAAACAGATCTTGATCCTTCGTTACACACTGATATTTGAACTCGACGCACCGCTGTGACTTTCCACAGAGCAGAATCAGGGTGCAGCGGCTTCACATCCAACACCTGCTGGACAGTTTATCACAATAAAGGACCGACATCACCCAGAGGATTTGGCAACATGCAAATCAAATGGAATCTACACCTTGCAAATGATCTCCGAATTAAAAAAAGATTACGAGCCTTTAATGACTTTTGCTTTGTGTGAAAATAAACAGTCTCACAGTTAGAATCAACAAGTTGTAATAAAGGCTCGATAAGGAGCGGTTACGTAATCCTGTGATGCATGCCCACTTAGCCGCATGCAATTCAAAACTTATCAACAACAGAACAACAAATCAGATAAGTGAGGGTAATTACTGGGCACTGATAGCGTTTAGTGTAAATAAAGGATGGAATTGGGTCAGTTTTCTTTGAAACCGAACCGGAGCGCACGTGACGAGGGGCTGGCGTTCGATGGAAAACAGTGTTCAACCATGCAAGGTGTAATCTAAAGCTGGGGGGGGGAGGTTTGGAGCAGCTTTTGTTGACTTTGGAGCTCGTTGTGTCACTTCAGTCTGAACCCCACCTTGTGTAGTTGGCAAATTAAGACGAGACAGAATACGTGCAGCCGCCAGAACGAGGTCAGTGCGAACACACACACACACACGAAGCAAAAAAAAATGATATACCTGTTGTTTTGTTCTCGATCTGGGCCTCGCACATGAGCTTCTCTTTCTCCAGGTCGTTCTTCATGTCACACATCGGGTGCTGCTCCGAGAACACCTGCGGAGAGAACGCTACACATGTGTTTCCTATATAACTCTTAAGACGCGGTGACATTTGAACAGTGTCCGTCATCAGGCTGTTACTCAGAGAAACATGAAAGAGTTACGGATGTGCGTAAGAATTTGGACACGAGATGGTTTTAAAGGGAACAGAGGTAAATGCAATCCCACAGCAAACAGTTTCCCTTCTTTAAGTGCTGCTGAGTTGTTCATTTACATATCAGAAGCTTAGCAGTCCATCTACAGCGGCTGATTTAATCCTTAAAAGCTCGTCTCTGTGTATCAAAAGGTCCTTATTTAGCAGTTTGTTTTTAATAGAAACAATCTCTTCATGCCTTAAAATAGATTAAAGGTAACTCTGTAACACTGTATAGCTGCAGCTCGAGCACACCAGCTCAGCTATGACTCTTCTGTACTATAGTGGGGTGATCCAGCCATACATGTTCTAATTCAGAAGAAGAATGACGATCCAGAAAGCTCCACCCTGCAGGTCAACGGGATTATTTCCTCATTTTTGTTACATCAAAAGCCCAAATCTGTGCTTGTAGAAGGTGAAACAGCTCAGCCGTGGCATTGACTGCTTATTTGACTCATGATTTAGCACATAAAAGACAAGCTGACAGGGTATAAGAGGAGACTTTTACTGGAGTGGCATCTGAGAAATCCTCTTTTTTTATGAACTGACTCATAAGCTGTTAATTATGAGCTGACAAACCCTCTGATTCTTCAAACCTTGAGCTAAAACTCAACAATCATGGAGTCCAATTAGCAACTGAGTTAGATGAAGTGATGCCTAAAGGTGAAGTGTGCATCGACATGTGAACACTTCTAAATGCTGTTTGCTTCAGGTGGTTGTCATTAAAAAAAATAAATAAATAAAAAAAAAATCTCGTAGATTAATCGTAGCAACTGGACTTGCTTGAGTTCCTTGAAGACATTCCACCTCTCATCCACGAGGCTTCATTGGTTCTGGCTGACTAGTTGGGAGTTCCAGATCAACACACTTGCCCAAAGTGTTGAGAACAACTTCACTTTGTTTGTCCTCTATGCCTCACATCTGCATCCCCTCTACTGGGACCTTCCAGAGTTGAGCCGACTGGTTCCGTCATCATTCACTCCGTCGGCACGCAGACACAAAATCAATCTTATCTGTGATTCAACCGTTACGCTGCACGCTCACGTTTTTTAAATGTGGAGGGAATCGTGGTTTCTAGGGTGGGATCCACAGAGGGTTCACCATCAGGCGTTACACAGACCCCTCTGCTGGAGCACATGATTTATTGCTCCTACTTAGCTGGATGAGTCTCCTCTCTGTGGGCATTAATCAGACGGGTAGCGAGCGGCTATTGTTAGCCACAAATGAGCCCGTATGACTCCAACCTCTCCCAACGCAACAAGGTGACTCCCTCATTGGGGATATTATTAATGTCACTCCTCGGGCAGGATCTCCACCGTTACTTATTATCAGCCATTGTGATGTGTGGTCAGTGATGGATGAGAGTGTGCAAGTTAGGAGGAAACTTCCAGGTTTCATCATCATCATTGGTTCCACACCTTGTCCTCATCACCTGAAACAGTCTGCCAACTAATTCACATTGCGGGTTATTCTGAGGGATGTGACCTCCGGCTGGATTCCAGCAGGATCCACAGATGCGTCTCTACGGGAGACAGTTTGTGGATAAGGACGCTGGAGACCACGGAGACAGACAAAGGAGGCCGTTGCCATGGCGTCCTGCTGGGAGAGCATCACGCACCTCGTTGCTTCTCCTGGTAATTCACCTGAACTTTAGCCATGAAAGGACACTGATGGGGGGGAATTTAAAAAACGTGTGAAAAGCAAGGAGCAGCAGGTTTTGTTTGGTGCCAAAAGGCTGCTGGTGACTGAGGAAGTGGAACAAAGCAATGAAGCTGGAGGGGCGTTGAGATGAGATGGGGGAAGGAGCTGGAATATTATTTGTTCTATTTTTTTTTTTCTTTTAAACACACATGATGGTTAAAAAAAAAAAGAAAGAAAGAAAAGAAAAAAGAAAGAAAGAAAAACTTGCCAAACTAACACCTCCATCCACAAACTTCTGACACTCCACCTGCGTCCAGAGCTGCCTTCATCACATATTAGCAGGTCAACTCTCCACCAGAAACATGCTTCATCCTGCCCAAACGAGACGAGCAGCTGACTTGAAGTTCAAGTCGTGCGCAAAGAGTTGGAATAATACTCACTGGTTCCAGCAGCACGCAGGACAGAAGCAGGAAGAAGCCTTTAGAAATGTGCAGCTGCATGTTTCCCTCGAAGTGGTTCCACCGCTCAGTGAGAACGACCGCAGAGAGATGGAGTTAGACTGTGATAATCCCGGGCAGGTATGAGCGCCTCTCCGCGCTGGCTCGGTGCGTTCTTGCGCTCTGAGTGCCGAGCAGCTCCGTCCTGAAGTCCTCCTCCTCTCCTCCTCCTCCTCCTCCTCCTCCTCTTCCTCCTCCCGCTGCAGCTTCACCTTCAACCACCAACAAGTAACCAATCAAACATCATCTGTCAGCGTCAGGAGATGAGGGCGTAAATACGCACAAGGAGAGAAGGAAAGCACCGTTTCCTTTCAGGAAAACTACTTAGTGACTAAACAAAAGAATCGTTTTATAACTCTGAGTCTGTTCAGTGTTGACTTTTATCGTCTAACTTGCATCTGCTGTTGATGAAACAATGAAATGCGGTGCAGTTTGGAGTTACTTTACTTTTACTGATATTTATTTTTGTTTTATAGGAATTATTTAAATATTGTTTTTTTATTACTACTATTCAGATTAGGATAAATTAAAGATATCTAATAAAATCACAGAAAACGGCATTAGTTTACATGTTGACTGTAAAACAAAAAACAAACAAACAAACAAACAAACAAGCCAAAACTGTCAATAATTTACACACCAAAATCAGTATTTTTGCAAATAGTGATTGGATTTTTTGTTTTGTTTTTAAATGTCTACAATTATTCTATTTCTACTGTATTTATATGAAGTGAAAATGTCATTATTTTACAGATATTTGCTGTTATTCTCACTGTTTTTACCACTTTCGAATATTACTCTAGTCCACTTTTTATTGTATATTTCCTGGTCACCTTGCTGCCAGATTTGTAACCATTTTTTGCATTTTTTTAGTTTAACAGTGTATCATATATACATTGAGGTTACAGCTCAGTGGAAAATGTTGCACTTTTGCTGCATTTATTTGACAGCAACAGAATTTGCATAAAAATATGTTTCAGTTAAATCTTATAGAAACAGTCTTGAAGATTTAACCGACGGCTCCCAGCCTGTACGGCTCCTGGCCTCTTGTCATGTCTCACATGTTTTAGAATTAGTACCACTGATGGAAGGTTACTGTTCACTCAAGTATTTTATGTGAGTACAGTTTGAGGTACTTTCACTTTGAAAGTGTGTTTCCACTTCACTACACCTCCAGTGGAAAACTTCCTTCTCCATCACATTTATCTGATACCTATAGTTCCCTTTAAGATTTGAAACGACGAATAACATAACAAGTTTTTAAGATTGTTAAAGATTAAACTCGTGGTTACCAACATTTTTGACTTCTTACAGAGTGAAGTGTGAAGCCGGGTCACATTTTAAACATCTGAGTTGGGAACAGCTCCACCAAATCGAGATTTTCCTCTAAACCGCTCACGTGGTTCCAGTTCAAGAAACGTTCAAATGATCAAAGAGAAAAAACGAAAGTAGATTTGAAGAGTTCATTTACATAAACAGATAACTCCATCCTCACAAACCTCCAGAAAACCCACTTTTTCATCGTCTACCTGAGACAACACCAATCAAACTTAAGTTATCTCTATTTTTGTCATTTCTACTGAGTCAAATCCACTCAGCTTCAGTTTGGTTGAAATTATCTCAAGCAAACAACAAAAAAAAGAAGTTTTCTGAAAGTCTACAACAATAGAGTTATCTGTTTTTGCAAATGAACTCTTCATTTGTTTATTAGAACTGTCCCTGAAGTAGCTTAAACCAGCTCCACCAGCAGCAGCTTCCACATGCTGCTGACACACTGATGCTCCACTATTAATAATTGAATCATGTCATTTATAATAATACATCAGTCACAGGGACCGACTACAAATGCTGCTGATACTTGGGGCGGCTGTGGCTCAGGTGGTAGAGCGGGTAGTCATGTGATCGTAAGGTTGGTGGTTGGATCACCAGCCCGTCCACAGTCAAAGTGTCACTGAACCCTTCCAATGGCAGCTCTGTCGTCATTGCTGTGTGAATGGGTGAATGAGAAACACATTGTAAAACGCTGTGAGTGCTGCTAAGGTAGAAAAGAGCTATACAAGAGCAGACTACTCGAATGCTTCTACTTAATAGGGTTTTTCGTGCAGGACTTTACTTGCAGTGGAGGACTGCTACATTGCCGTATTGTTCTTTTTCCTGAAGTGAAGGATCTGAATACATCTTGCTAATTAGTAGGTACACAAGGGAAGCAGCTCCCACACAGGACTTATGATGAACAAGATGTGAGTCAACACGTTCCAAAGACAGTTTACGTGGGTTTTTTTTTTTTTCTCCCTTTCATGCTTCACTCATCTGCATGTAGTGGAACATGTGACCTACAGGAAGCAGATATAAGATTATCTAAATAAACATTACCATGAAATCCATCAGCTTCACTGTTTGCCTGAACGTATAGGGCGTCCACATGAGCTGTCTGCTGACATGCAATAAAAATCTGCCTCTTTCAGATACGGAGCTGGTCAACGCAGACAAACTGCTCCCAGATGAGATAATGCTACTGTACTGTGTGTGTGTGTTTGTGAAAGCGCTCGCTGTGGAGGATCAAGATCATAATTCATCAAAAGAGGGAAGTGTGGGAAGAATATCTCCTCCCGTGATATTTCCCCAGTGTGCTGCGGATACACAACACAAGGTGAAGACATGCAGTGTGTTTGTCTCCGGTCAGATGGCTGCTCTGTCATCATGCAATCAGTGCTCATAGTGTGAAAGACTTCCAACCATGAGGAGTACGCGTCGCTGGTAACAATACACAGACCGAGGTCTTGTTTCAGATGCATGTGCTCCTTCAGTGGCACCATGTGTTTTCAGCCTATGCTTCAACATGTGCATCGCTTGTTTTACTACCAGCGGGTGACTCACCGAGGCTTATGAAAGCTTCGGAGGATGACGGAATAACCTTCCTCTGGAATAGAAGTCAAATCTTTGGGCTTTTGAGTTGCAAATTTTTTCGGGACGCCAACACAGAGTGCAGAGTTTCTTCCTTCACTTTTCAGAATTGGTTCATTAGTCAGAAATACATTATTAATAGCTGATGGTGATGACTATGCTCTTAGATTAATCGTAACAACTGGACTAGCTTGAGTTCCTTGAAGACGTTCCATCTCTCATCCAAGAGCCTTCATCAGTTCTGACTGACCAGTTGGGAGATCCATATACTTTTATCCTTAAGGATCCATTAACACCTGAGTTTCGGTTTCAGTTGGGGGTTGTTGCTCCTCTCCCTCGTTATGTGGGTCATTAGTGCTCCCCCTGCCACAGTGGGGTTCGTTAAGGTCTTTTGTGGCTAGGTGTGAATGTGGTTTCATCTTCCTGGGGAGAGATCTGATGAAGCCTCTTGGATGAGAGGTGAAACGTCTTCAAGGAACTCAAGCAAGTCCAGTTGCGACGATTAATCTACGAGAATAACCACAACCTGGATGACTGAGAGTCTTCACAGACATGATAGTGATGAACCTCCTCTACCAGCTGACGGTGGAGTTTTATTATTATTTTATTATTCTATTTTATTCACAAAATGAGGAGCACATTTCTCATAGGTCTGCAAGGTAGCTCGGTGGTCAGCACCGTTGCCTCACAGCAACAAGGTCGCTGGTTCGCGTCCCGGTGAGGACACCCAGGATCTTTCTGCGTGGAGTTTGCATGTTCTCCCCGTGCAGCGTGGGTTCTCTCTGGGTTTTCCGGGTTCCATGTTGAGGTTAATTGGTGATTGTAAATTGTCCGTAGGTGTGAATGTGAGTGTGCTTGGTTGTCTCTAAGTGTAGCCCTGTGATAGACTGGTGACCTGTCCAGGTGTCCCCTGCCTTCACCCTGAGTCAGCTGGAATAGACTCCAGCCCCCCATGACCCTAGTGAGGATTAAGCGGTGTATAGATAATGGATGAATGGATGGATGGATATTTCTCATAAGCCCTTCGTCATAGAGATACTTTCTTGGTGCTTAAAAGAATAGGCACGTTTTCATTGTTTTCTCCAGAAACTTGCAGTCAAACCAGATCTGTGACATGAAAAAAAACATCTTGTGCAACATTTAAATGATGACAATCGAGGGGGGGCGTAGGATTTAGAGCCTCACATGCAGTAAAACATTCTCAAAATTAATGTGGGATTTACTTATTGCAGGTAATCGTTGCCTCAAACACACATTACTTGAACTCGAGCAACCCGCAGGTTTCACTGCGAGGCAAGAGTCGAGCTGTCAGTCAACACCCGAGACGTTTTAACAGAGGCTGGTGGTAATTATGAAGATGCATCGAACTCATTAAGCCGAAATGAAAATCCGAGAGCGAAATCATCTTCTCAGCAGGGAAACCAAAAGCAGTGTATAATGTGTGTGTGTGCGTTTTAACACTGATGAGACGGTCCATAAATCCTGAGGCGAGCGGCACTATTTCAGTTTGTCAAAGTTGCAATCACAAAAATGTCACTGCAGACATAACAGCCCTGTTTTGGTTTGTTAAATACTTGTTTTTTTATCTCGTGGGTTCTCTTTATGCCATTAGAAAGTCAGATTTTCACAAGCGTGTCATCCATCTTTGGAAACGGAAACATGAAAGTCAGCGTTCGTGGGCAGCATCTAGCTCGGTGGTGGCAGGTTTTAGCTGCAGTTTTTACAGTGTTGGACTCAACTAAAGGGAAGCTTTCACTGTAAAAATGAACAACCAGCTGTAGCTCAGGTTAAATAACTTGTAACCTGTTATACAAATAAGGAACCTCTTTTGTTCATTAAAGACAGACATTTGTGACACAAGAAACTGAACTTGAACGATTTACATTTGAATTCGTTTTGTTTCCATCCATCCATTATCTCTACACCGCTTAATCCTCACTAGGGTCATGGGGAGCTGGAGTCTATCCCAGCTGACTCAGGGTGAAGGCAGGTTCACCTGGACAGGTAACCAGTCTATCACAGGGCTACACTTAGAGACAGACAACCAAGCACACTCACATTCACACCTACGGACAATTTAGAATCACCAATTAACTTCAACA